GTGAGCTGGTGCACTGCGAGCTTACCCCAGTAGGCCATTACTCTGCATGACTGCTTGGCCACGGGAGTTAATAAAACGAAGTAGTTTTAGTAAAACAACGCAAGTTTTAGATCAGCCAATGACAGAACGATGGGGAAGCTTACTTTTACGTCGAGTGCAACTTCAGTTTAGATTAAACTTTGGATGGTTTTAGGAGCTAAAACAACCGGCAAAATATGTGAAAAGCACAATACCAGTAAATTCTTCGGCGAGGTGGCCAAGGAATGGCCGAGATATAGTAGTTTATCGCGAGATGTTCGACACCGACGTTGGCAAGTCGGACTTTCGCTATGTATGTGGGACTGGTACCAGTCCAAGAATCAGTGCGTTTGACCAAGGCATGGCCGAGATGTAGTAGTTTGAGTGTGTCCAGGGCATCCCTCAGTGATGACACTAGGCCATGAATACGGATGGGTCGAGGTAGAGTAATCCAATAATCCAACATGTATCTATATTTGATCGCATGGCCAAAATCATGTGGGCTTCACGCTTACTGCGTAGTAACTTGTAGAGCAAGCTATTTGCGCGGTCTACAGGCAACTATTTATGACTGGAAATTATACCACGTACAAACCGTCCAAATTGGCGTACGTAGATTGAAACACGTGCAAATACACCACCTAAATTTAACCACGTGCATGCACGCCAACAACTACCTGCAAAAAATTCCACACCCGTTGAAAGCTGGCGAGTACAAGGACAGCAAATGCTTCGAATGTTTCCGCACGTCGGAACAAATCTTCGAGTACGTGGATGAGTTGGCGAAACAGAACCCAAAAGAACCACCGTTCAAGGCAAGACTATCTACGCGTACAAACTGACCGGCGGCGCGTCCAAGTCCAAGTCGTTGTATTTCCAAAGTCTGCTCCACGCCCGGGAATGGACCGCTGTAGCGATGAAGTGCACAACATCAAGCATGTTGTGCACTTCAAGCAACTCGTCCAAGACTTGGCGTCAAGGCGTTTCAAGGTGTAGCAAGACGTCAGGGGGTGAATGTAGCGATGTGACAGGTGGGTTAACAGCTTGCCACCACCTTGCCCTCACCCAGCTCCTAAGTACCTGGCTCATGACGAACCCTAGCTAATGCTTGCCTGGGAATGTGTCTCAAGGGCAAGTATAGCTTAGAATCGCTAGCGTAAAGTGAAGTTCCCCAATGTCTCAACCGCACCCGCATCCATTGCATACAAAAGTGCATATTAGTGTAGAAGTAGTGAAGTAGACTAAGAAGATTTCATAGTGATGAGGATTAAGGAGATCTTTGTAGATCTTCAGTTAATTCATTGTGCATTTTGCCCTCAACTACACACGCTTCCTCCCGCAGTGCTATATTTGGTAGCACTTCCTGGTTTTCTCGCGCAAGCCCCGTTCAACTGCTGTAGCTGTACGTAGCCAGTGATCTTAGACGGTTGTTGTGGTCGTTTGCAGAGTCTACACATCGCCAAAGGTTTTGAAAACGTGGTCTTTGCTACCCGTTACCTGGTGATAGTCTCCGCAACAAAATCCATACACGTTCTGAGTGATCTACTAGTGTATGCCCCGTAGTAAGACCCGCAAGCCCCAACTCGCGGTCACCAAAGACATCGGCGACCTATTTGACTATCCGGATCTGCCGGTTAAGCTACGTCAAGACCTTTACGTGTTAACCCGTCACCAACGCGTGGTTATCAACAAGTTGCGTGCCCAAATCCCCGAAGCAAAGAACTCCGACGCCCGCAACGCCATCCAAGAGATCACAGACTTATTGATCCACCGGAACGACCAAACCGAAGAGCTAATTGAAGGAGTCCTCGACCGCAAGATAATAGTGTACCACAAGGCCCGCAAGATCAAGGCCGAAGCGAAAGTAGATCGAAGTTCGAAGTAGTGTAATTGAATTTCAACTGAATTACAAGATGGATGAAGTTTTGCGCACAATGGCAGAATCCTTTCAGCGACATGAAAAGCGTGAAAGCCCCAATCGGTGTGCGATGACACGGAAGTGGGTCGAAACGTATTGTTGTTTGGGTCGTGGGGGTTCTAATACTCTCGAAAGTGAAATATTATATTGATGAAAATCCATCACATCATATAATATTTCATACCTTGTAGCGCGAACGAATGGGTTGATTGAACTGCGCTAGACCGTTGACTTGTTTTCGGTATTGAGGAGGGCATCGCTTGGTTGTCGACTGGCCAATTATATATTAATACTTATTTCTGGCGATATATATATATATATGTATTTGTCCTTACTTAAAACGGACGCATCGCACACATTCGTAGCTCGATCGCAGCACGTGATCGACCACGGCTCGTCTTCAGATCGAAACCTTTGCAAGTATATGTCGTCCACGTTGTCGTAGCTATCAATATATAAATGTATGTGAATATCATCATAAATGGAATATTATTCATGTATATATTTACTCTTTGGTGAAGAAAGCGCGGTGAAAGTTGAGACTGTAGTCAACGGAGCCGTCCACGCGCTTGCCACCAACGGGTCCATAATGGGTCTCGGTAGCCAATACTCCACAGAATCAAATAGGCGTCCTACAAGAAACTATTATTTAATATATACATATATATTATATATATGTATTATATATATATAACATTCAATATATATATAATACATATATATAATATATATGTACTTTAGTCGACGATACAACTACAGTTTGGTCGTGGGTTTCGCTAATCGCTAGACCACCGGGCGCTTCGGTTGCCCCAGACGGGTAAAAACTAGCTTGGAATCGAAATGGGCCATTTGGAAAGTCCGCCGTCGCCACGCCACTCAGCCCCATCTACAAATATATGTATACTAATATATTAAAAAAAATATTCTTTAAAACATGAGATGCAATATCTCTCTGACCTCGTTCTTTGGATTGTCCACGTGCACCCACAGTACAAACTGACCTGATGAACTTAACACGACCTAGTTCCAAAATATATTTATAAAAATATACATATATAATATTTTGGTACCTTTGGACGAGTGGCTAACAGCGCTTGATTCATCCCAAAAGGATCGGTGAGATTGGCATAATGCAACACAATGCCTTCGTTTCTCCAAGTGATCAAGTCTGTGGTGGAGCACGCTCCAATGCCGCCGCCCACCACAACGCTGTCGTTGTTTAGGACTTGGATTTCAGAGTACCAATATTGTGACTCTAAAATGATCCATTAGAAATATATAATATATATATTTGTACGTTGGGGCAACGCTGACTCGGTAGAAGACACGCCTTCGGCATTGGTTTCCAGTGGAAAGACCATTGAAAAATCGCGACCATTTCTCCATTGTTTGAGTACGTAAACGCGCCATCTAGCATTCCAATGCCCACGATAAACAACGTGGGGTCTGTCGCGTCGTGCAGGCCGAAGAGCTCCCCTAGGATTGAATTCAAAAGCATTAGAAACTGCAATAACTAATATTTTATGCACCTCGATTGGTCTGCAGTGAGCCTTGTCGGACCGATCCCAGACGAAGGAAATACGAGATTCTGGTGGGCTGGCCCGGAAACATGTGAAAACTTGGTCCTTCCAAAGTCGGGGTTTGGTCCATAGCGCTTTTGGCTATGTATAAAGACTTGGAGGTTTGGGCCGCACTAACAAATTTCGCATGATTTTGACGAATTCGGCAGTGGTGGAGAATTTGCATATTACGTACTATTAATAGTTCAGTAAAATATTATTAATAGTAGTACCTTTGTGCATTTCACCAAAATTTGGACTTGAGAGTGATTTCACCAAATAGCTGTCGAATTGATTTGATCCTATTTATTCTTGTACACATTATACTCTAACACACAGATGTGGTTTTGCCCAATGCGGAGGGGCAAACGTTTGGATTGGCAGAAATTCGACATGACGTGATTTGATTGGTTCAGGCGGTACTTTACTCGATCTCAAAAGACATTCGATTCGTTGCTGAGGACTCTAGTTTCGAATCCATTTGACAATAACAGTTTATTAATACACTATTGTACTATTAACAGTAATACTATTGTCCTTTTACCCAAAATTTGGACCTTTGTGCTGATTCGCCAAAGATATCGATCGATTCTTTGTATTGAACTTTATAGAGCGTTATCAAAATGGTCCGGTGACACACTAATTTCAGTCACACACTAGTTCGGGTGTGTATAATTCAAAATGGTCCGGTGTCACACTAATTTCAGTCAAACACAAATATTTCAGTCATACACTAATTCCATTTGGGTATAGTGTGTTTAATTTCCTCAAATTGGCCCTTTACAGTTAGAAAATCTGACAAGACCTGTATCCAATTCCAAAATATTCCAGCACCAAAAGGTTGCATTTCGACCGGCTTGAATTTAATCAGTAGCTCCCATGAGAATCAAATATACTAAATTATAAATTATTACTTGGTGTTTGTATGCAATTATCAAGTATAATCTGTGACATAAAATTGTACTCAGCGGCGATTGTTCGCATAAGCCAAAAAGCCAAAATGCCAAAATGGCAAAAGATACTACTGATTCCACTCACTCTTCGAAACGGTACCATTTTACAATGTTACAGTTATCATTTGTCAAATTATTCTACACCATATCGGTTGCCAACCACCCTCTCACTAAACACAGACAAGTCGCCGTCGAGAATGCCAGTTCTGGTCCATCACAGTCGACTGTGACACGGAACGCCATGGCTCTTTGGCCCAGCCCATCCCTCCACAAATGGAACCTCGTACAATCTCTCGTGCCGCCCGGCAATGAGAGCATCGATTTGGTCGAAAGCATTCACCAGCTGCCGCTGTTTGACCTTGGACTTGAACGATGCAATGATGCTAGCATTTGGTGGTTGAAGGCAAGCAGTTGTATTCTTTGGCTGCATTAGAACTCCAATGTTTCTCAACACAGTCTCGGTGTGAAGTAGGTGCGGTAGTACATTGACCATAAGCATCAAATTATTTTGGTCTTGTGCAGCCATTTTGGCATTTAACTCATTCTGTACGCGTTCAAGATGTTACCATTCATCCAAGCCTTCTTACTTGCATGGTAGTCGAATCCGAGCTCTTCACCAGACTGGCCACGGAAGAATCGCGGACGAACAGCACTACCAATAAAGAGCGGGTCGACGACATCACTCCCATCTGCAATAGTGGTAAGCGCAAGGACTTGTTCGCTTTGGTTCCGGGAACTAGATAGCGTGGAATTGAGCGGTGTGGTGACATGCAGTAAAAGAACGATGTCTTATCCATGTTGTCGATGTTGAAATTCCGCATTTCACGCCGTCCGATATCGACATCGGCTTAGAGGGTTGATCGTGCCTCACCATGTTGAATTTTGCTGGTAAGTCACTGTTTTTGCTGGATGTGGTATAGCAAACCCTTCGAATAGGACGGGATATCGGAGTTGGGGACATCAACCTTTTGTATCGCGTAGAAGTGTTCAGGTGGGTAGTCGGGAAACACCTTAGTGTCAATGTCGCTTGCCATGGATGATGAAGAGTATGGACATCTTCTGCTCCCCAGCTCGTACGGTCAACATTGCTGATATGCGGTAGGAGTGCCGCGCCGAATTCGCAACATAACTCCCACCACGACCAATGGCCCAGATGGTGTTGGGTCACGTGGCGTAGTACATACGACTCTCGTCAGTGTTGTACGAAACGTCCACGTAGATGCCGGGGTGCTCATCGTGGAACTGCTTCCCGAAGGCAATGCGCGTGGATTTCAGTTCTTCTTGGGACTTCTTTTGGCGGTAGAGTAGATGGCGTGAGAATCCACGACGTTCGGCAAATTGCTGTAGCAGGTGTAGAAGTGAATATTATCCCGATGCGACATAAGCGCATGTAGTTGTCCATCCAGTCCAGGTGGTGTACACGCAAGTATTCGAGCATGTGGGAGGACGTGACCGTCATTGCTTGCCGATGCAAGTCCATTATGTAGGTGACAAGGCCATGTGGATCGGGGATTACAGGTTTGGCCCTACTCTTGACCGTGTTGTGCTTTGTTACCTTCACACCACGGCAGCGCTTGAGCTTGGCTTGGTTTGCCATCCCCAAGCGGATGTATCCCTCGGAGTCTTCGAGTGTAGACGCGGCCTCTTGCACTGTCCTGCTCTCAGCGACAGCGATGACATTGAGCTTCTGAGCTATGCTCAGTCGGATGCGACGTTTGATGGACTGGGGTGAAACAGGGTGGCCTTCGTCGGGCATAGGGACTCACTGTCGAGATAGATTGTGGAAGGTTACAGTCATCAATGTTTTCAATTTATTGTCGCCAAAGCTATTGACCAATAAGAGCTTAGAATTTTGATTGACTTGTAATGATTGGTTCGCTCAAAAAATAAATGCAACAAAATCCTGCATGCTCATTTAACGTCGTTCCCTGTAGTGCGATCTACGGATATAAGTTTCATACTAACATCAAGGTAACGTTCGTGGCCAAAACTATTGACCCTATACAAAACACCACTTGGTTTACAGTTCATTACTCGACCAATTCTTCGCCAAATTTGATTTTGAGACGTAGCATATCTTCACACCGAACTAGATCTGTCGAAATTGCGTCTCGTTTTACTTCGATTTTGAAAAATGAATATGAAATAACAGCCAAACGGTTATGTGAAATGTTGGAAGTTTCTAGGAATCGTGCACCATATTGTGAATATTTCGTAGTACTAGCTAGTGCTACGATCAGGAAATATTAGCAATATGTTGTAGTATTTGTAAGGTGAGCCGCCTTGCTTTTATATCCAATAAGAGTCCATCATACGTCTCTCGTACTAACTCCCCCAACTCCTTCACATCTCGACACCCGTAGCGCATATGAGTTTATATCGATTACAATGAATGCAGGCAATCAACTACACATCTAAGGCTAACCCACCCGCGTAGCACGCGTATGGTGAGACAACCCCATGTCTTCAAGAACAGGGCTGGTCCTACCTCTGAGGGGATCTCTCATCAATAGGACCGGTCGAAGAATGACTGGAATTGGCCGAGATAGAGTGACTAGATGGCTTGCATTGATCGGCGACGCCAAGATGCCAAGTACCATGTTTGAATTAGCTGTCAAAATTGTTCGATAAAATAGCTTATGCCTTACACGCGCAAGTCCCGCAGTTCCTTAAAGTTGTTATCGACTGTTAAGTAGTTTTCAAATTGGGCATTTTCCAATCAAAACGCGCGCCAACTTATTCCAAAATCCACTTTTCAAAATGAGGTGCATGACGACCCCATTTCATCCCAGTTTGGACAACCCATCGCCGCGCCAAACTACATCTAGCGGAGTCGCTTCACTTCCATTTTGTAGGTCCGCAAGTCAACAAAAAAGTTAATCGTAGTAATTTTTGCAATGTATATCAGGCGGAAATTTGAAACTCCGAGGTTGTTAAAAGGTAGAATTTCAAATTTACGAACCAAATTTCCTGTTCACAATCGAACGAAGACAATTTCAGGAATTTGGTCAAATTCCGGGTTTGCAAATGGTCTCTAATGAGAATACACGCGTAATTCCTTCACTTTCCATAACACGCGTAAAACCCCCAAAAAGCACGCGTGAAAACACTATTTCCTTCCCTGCTTTCGATCGTTTTGGTCACTTCAATTTCATTTTCATTGATTCTTATCGGTTGATGATGACGTGGTAGGAGCAGCGCCCTATGATTTCGTGTTTTTACAACATAAATACAAATGAATACTACCTAGTACTACCTGCAAAACAGAAGAAGTAATATTGTGGATACAGTAACATTACAAATTTCCAACCCCGCAGAATCGAATCACGAATCGACGCTAATTGCTACTCCCTCCGATCCAAAAAGGTTGCGCGACTTCGGAATTTCACAAATCCCCCCTCGAAAAAAAGTACCCCGCACACCCTATATTTTAATAGATATTGAGATTCAAGGCTGTAACGTTACAGAATGTGTGTCACAGAACCATCCAAATTTGCGATTCATGAAAAATCAACACTGCCATTCGATTCAGGAGGGGGGTTTACCTCGAGAACCCTCCTACCGAGCACCACAACTCCAACGAAGTACAACACATCTACTCAACATATCACTACTCATCATTCATGTCTATAGCTTCAAGTCGTGGCTTCAAGTCGTGGCAGCACTTTCCCCAGCAGGTACGCACGGTAGACATCCTTTGTGACGCTGATGACCTTGGTTTCAATCGTGCCAGCTTCTCGGTTGACGCTTGACGAAGGGCCACGTTCCGATTTTGCCGTCCCACCAAACACCGGTGTCCTCGTTAAGCCGAGGCCGCGCCACCGCCGTCAAGAACATAACCTTCGTAATGAATCGCTTGCTCTTGCACTTGCGCTTGGGTGGCTTCTCGCCTGGTACGAGATAGAACTTGCGATTTACTAAGGTCAAATAGAACCATTTTTCGTCGAGGTGAACGTAGTCCAGCATTTCGCACATATCTTGTCCGGGCGCCATAAAATTGAGCGCAAATTTGAGTCGGCTGTATTTGTTGGCGTCGGTAAGCATAGGACGGATAGCATTTGAGTGCGCACGGAACACACCACGCTTGAGATACCGATGCAATGTGCCGTAACTGATTCCTACGATACGAGTTTAGTTGGGGGTGACGGAATATCTTTCGTAACCGGTTTTGGCGGAGATGGATCGCAATGATGTACGCTCTCGCAGTGCAACCTGCAAGAGCTTTTCTCTCGCCTGGGCAGGCGTGTACTTTATCTTCCGACCAACGCGACCTTTCTTTCGGTTAGCTACACACACTTGCATGTTTCCAGACGCTATGCCCTGTGCCTTTGCTCGAGCTATGATGCTACGAACGGACGACACGTGGCAACCATACTTTGTCGCAAGGTCGTTCCCGAAGCCTCTCGGTAATCGGCCAACCACACCATCTTGACAATTGAGCAAGACTTTACGCAGGATGGCCTCACGCACCATATTGGTCAGGTCAAGCCTACCCTGTGTCATTCTGAAGTGAGCTGTCAAAATTCCCACCATGTAAGAGTGTTTGTATATTTGAAAGCTGGTTTTATCTTGGAATTTGCCCTAAACTGCTGTCCGTTTCGCGCTCTTTTCGACAGACCAATTGGAGCACAGAAATTCAACTCGAGGATGGACGAAAACCGTGCCTGAAATCTCATACAAATTTAATGATGTGTCATGTAAACCCTCCTCAAAGTCGCGCAACTTTTTTGGATCGGAGGGAGTAATCCATTTTTGAGTGGATTTAATTGGCTCTTACAAGACAAGTAGGGTTCAACCAATCAGAACTCCAGCGTGGTTGAATATTGATTAGACGAACCACGCTAATTTTGGAACTTTATCGCGAATTCACGATACAGTACTGGACAGCAAAATTCGAGGAGAGTAGTCCTGTGTCTCTATGGGACTTTGTATGTAGAGTGGAACAAGCCGCCACTAAAATTTAAGAAATTGAATGCCCAGAAGACATGAGCTTGGTAATTTGAAACATTTGGATTGGTCTTAATTCTTCTTTTTTGGCAAATCACAGCAAATGTAACGTTACAGATATCATATCGCAATTTCGAGCGAATGATGTCGAATCATATTCGAATTCAGGAGGGGGGTACACCGAGAGCCCTCCTACCGACTTCAACACACCGAACGAATACAATAACAATCACACTGCAATTCAATTACTGATGGTATCGACTTCACAAATGCCTTCTTCACAGTATCAGTAGAAATTTTGTTGCAAACACGAATTGTGCGAAATTGAAATTTAAATTGAAATTTGAAATTGAAATTTTCGCGGTATTTACAAGCTCTCTATCGCCCGAGCGCGCGCATATGCAGCGTCGCCCGCGAACTAGACTAATCTAGCGGATGGAGCTTGTGCATGTTCACACCGGGGTGGTTCGTGCATCGGCCTCAGTCTGTCGGGCCTTCGTTAGTGTGCGGTGTGCTGTGGGACGTGTCTGGTCGGTGTTGCTATAGTTGTTGGTGCCTTGCAGCACTTGTTTCCGGTGGTCGTCGCAGTGGTCTGCGTCGTCGCGTTCGTGTAACGATTTGTTGGTCGTGTGATGCGGCGGGGCTGCCGAGAAGGCCTTTTGCCCGCTGCCCAAGCCATGTGTCTATGTCACGGGTCCGGCGGGCTTTCGCTTGGCGTAGGTTTGTGTCCATGGCAGCCGGGGTATCATCGTGAGCCCGGCGGCGCTGTTTGATGCCGGTGTTGACCGCTTGTGCTAGTGCGGTATCGCCGTCCTGTGCGGTAGCTACGTATTGTTCGTGACACGTGTGGGTCCAGTACGCGTGTAGTGTAGTCCAATGGGTAGTGAACCATCGGCGGTGAAAGTCTTTGCCGAGGCGTGGGGTGAGAGAGAGTGCAATGGCCCATTGTAGCGTGTTGTTAGTCATAGTCGGGAGCCGTTGCCATGCGGCTGGTGCCCGGTATATATGTGGGAAGCTGGCTCGCAGCCAGCTGTGCACCTCGTGGCACGTCGGGTCTTCTGGGTCGCCGTCGTTATCGGCATCCCATCGGATTGCCTGGGTGTAGGCCGGTGGGGGGCTGGGAAGAGTGTTGCGCGGTGGATTCATGAGCCACGTCATTTGGCCCCAGTGTTGAAGCGCGTGGGCCCAGTGTGTCGGTAGCGTGCTTGTGTCGGAGTCTGGTGACACAATGAACCCCAGGAGGATGTCCACCTTATTCATATTTGTCAGCCCAGCCCATCTTGGCGGCGATGAGTACGTAATTGTGGAGTGGTGGCGCATTCGTAGTTGCCCCGCCGGGATATGCAGGTTCCACGTGGCTCCTAACGCGTCCAGTGTGCGGTGTCCGGTGGAGTTTTTGTAGCAGATACACCAACACTCATACGGGCCGGCCATTGCAGCCGTCGTTGTGATTTCGGTTGCGAGTGTCCTCCACCATTGGTCGGTGCGGCCTTGTAGTATAGCATCGATCCACCAGAACCGGGTGCATCATGCACACTGCGCGCCTGCTGAGTGCGAGACCGCGCCCCCTTCTCCATGGCAAACACTCCACCACCAGTCGTTTCCTACACAGCAGGGCCACTCCAGCAGACCCATTACCCTACCGGCCGGGGACGGCAGTGTCCTCCGAGGGGGTACACCTACGGTGGCACCTACCGCACTCATTTAACCCCGGGGGACGAGAGCAGTACGTGCAGAGTCCAGCGTCGGCTGCCCCGTGGGCCTGTTCGATTCGGGCCCTGTCCC